TGGAGAAAAAAAATAAAAGTTTTATTATATTATAATTATTTATAATTAATGACGTAATTATTAAAATTAAAAATTATAATTAAGGATAAATTGGAGCTTAGGCAATGAAAAAAAAATATATATTGCAATTATTTTAATCTTGTAATTACTTTTACTACTAAATTAAAAAAATAGATTTTACCTACCTTACATAACTCATATAAAAACATATGTCTAACCAATATAATTTAAACACAAACTATTTTCAATTAGTTATCTATATTTACATAAACGATTTAAAAATACTTATTTTATTAATTTCAAATAGCAGTTGGTAATAACAAAACATGTTCCTAATAAATTGGACAGCATTTATTTTTATAGTCATAAAATATATTTTGTAAATTAGAATACCTAATTATAATAAAACATAAAAAATATTACAATGAACAAATATAGTATTCTTCACCTAATTTCGACTTTTATATTTTCCGTAACAAAGGATATTAATTAACGATTGGGTTATATTTTCTGAGTTTACTCAATTTTTCAGTGGAATGGCCGAAAGGCTGATTTAAAATGACTTAACACAATATATACCATTTTTCATCGTAAAAAATATAAAAGATGGTAAGGAATTCATTTTTTTTTTATAAGTGTTTGAAGTTTAAATTGCCAAACTGAGCAAACATGAAAGAGTTTTAAATGTCTGTCTTTTTTTAACCAGCCCATATTTTTTTAATAGTTTCTCAGTTTATAATTTTGTATTATATTGTGTGGTTGTGTGATTGTTTTTTATATGCTTACTAATTCTCTCCATTACACATTTACACTGGAGTTGTAAATAGGCTATAAAATGTATTTTAATGTGAATTATTATGCTACACTTCTAAAATGTTTTAAATTTGGTTACTCACAATAAAGGTGCATACTGCTTACACTGAAAAAACAAAATTGTTTTTATGTATCAGTCCATACTATATTATAAGTTATTTTAAAGTCTTATATTACTTATAATAAATTATTATTATGTTCATTGTAATTTTCTAAAACATTCTTAAAAAAACCCAAAGATAATGTATTATACTAAATAAAATCTGTTTTAATCTGTACTAATATAAATATAAGCATAATATATATATATATATATATATCAAGATAATTAATAAATAATAATATAATAATAATGATAGTAATAATAATAAATATTATTTATTGACTAAAAAGTTAGTTACAAAATTTAATTTACAAAAAGTTTAATATACAGTAGTGTCATAATAGTTGTGTAATTACAGCTAATAAAAAAAAATATACAAATTAATACATGTAATGATACATGTAATAATTAAAAGAATACATGTGTACATATACACTATATTCAGTGAGGATAACCTCCTATTGGTTAGTATTAATAAAAACTAAATATAAAAATCTACACTGAATTCTACATAATTTTTAGAATTATTCATCTACCCAAAAATAAAAATAATACAATAAAAAAAGCTCATTATTACGTCTCTGTGAAACCAAGTGCACTATAAAACGAGGTATATACATATCTCAACTCACACACAGAGTCGATTAAAATTAATATTAAATTCAATGCATTGTTGAGTTTGAAAAATCAATACATTTAATTGTTCTCAAACTCACGAAAAAACTATTGAACATTGACATTTTTTAATTTTTTACATGCTGTTATAAAATATGTGTTATTTTTTTATAATTTTCTGTTTAAGAATTTTAAGAATAAACATAATAAATTTTAAATATTTGAAATTTGATTACACATTTTTTATGAAAATGATTCTGAAAATATGGACGTGAAAATATTTATTTAATATATTGATCAAGCAATGAAAATTGTTAGATTTAATTTAATTACATTTTTACTATACGTATTTCTGAAAGTTTCCTTGTTAGTTGCTGTTGTAGGTATAACAAATTAATATATATAAAAAAAATTGTAATCAATTCCTGAAACTATTTTAAAACAGGAAATAATACAGAGATAATAAGCTTACTCTTTTAATGGATATTTTATTCTTCAGGTAATTCACAGTTTTTTGAAACTTTCCCAATTTTCTTTGAAAACTAAATTTACATATTATTTTTTCGTGTGATACTTGTGCTCCTAAAAGTCTTGAACATAATCTACAGTAAGGTATGAATATATTATTGAACCTATTATATGAATATGAGTTATCTGTAGTAATTTCATTGCTTATAGTACAATAGTTATATTTTGTAATACAGAAAATAATATAATACGGGTATGTAACATTATTGAAATTTCATGAATTTTTTCATGAATTAGAGTACCTATTGAGGAATTAATTCTTATGTATTGTAGTTATTTCATTGTGAAGTTCCATGTTTGTAAATTATATTAATTATAAATTTAGATATGGTAAATTTGTCCGTATTATGTAATACCAAGAACAAATATAATGCAATATACATTTAATTAATTTCAACAAATCGTCAAAATACATTAACAATACGAACTGTCCAATGAATTTAATACGAGGTATACCTACTTCATAATTCAATGTTATTGTATACAGCTATGCAACATGTTGGTTGTTACGCTTATAATAATAGCTATACGTACAAATTAATATATTATTGTTTGTGAAGTTTCGTAGGAAAAAACCAAAACGCCTATAAATGTAATATAATATACAGTCTGGTAAAATATACTTTTGAAAAAGTATTAAGATACTAATACTATTATTTGAATAAAAAAGTATTAAAAATACTTTTAAAATACTATTATAGAAATACATTTTACGAATACTCACAAAGTATTTGAAAACAAATACAAGTATTTTTTTTTTATATACTATATAATATATATGTATATTCAATATTGTACACCAGTATAGGTACCTATTATGTTACTACTTACCATAGATTTTAACAATTACCATTTACTATGACATGTCTTACTATTTAGAGATAAATACATGTTCACATATTTCATTCTGCATTCAGATATATTTCAACTAATATTGATTAAATTTTAATGAAAAAAATAAAATAAAGAGTGGTGTTATATTTTATTGATATGGAACTATTTTAAAATTATTAGATTTTTAGTTTTCTTAAAAATTCCAATACAGAAACCATGTAAAACATTGTTATTACCTACTTTTACTATACAAAAACATAATATTAGTTTTCAACGAAAACAATATTATTTTTATTGATGTCAATTTTTTGTGAAAAACAATAAATTAAAATTAATATAACGGAATTTATGGTATTTTAATACAATTATTTAAATTTTGTTAAAAATACTTTTAAAAAGTATTCAAAATACTTAAAAAAATTGTATTTAGAATACCATATAAATACTTAATTAAATAAATACTAAATACTTTATTCGTATTCGAATATTTTACAAGACTGATAATATATTATAAATTATAATATTATATTAAATTTCTAAACGTTTAAATAAAAAAACAAAAAATTGACCATTTTGAAACTTTGTTAGATCTTAGAGCGGTATCATTATAATATAAATATTATAATATCATCGTTAAATAATTTCAACATAAAAAATAAAAATAAAAAACATAAATCGTTCAATGGTCCACGCAGACAAGTTAGGTCATCACGACGATGGGCATGTAATATACGCGTCAAGGATAATGTTGTACGGGTAATGGACGGGCTGACCGAAGTTTGAGCTTTTCGACTTTTGCACGAGGAAAACCTGACCGTGGTCCCGCCGACTTTATGGAACGTTGTCATGGAAAACAGCCGCACGGTCGCTTAGGCCTGGCCAAAGATCGGCAACGCGGACGATCGCACAATACTATAGATATATGTATATATACGATGCGATGTGGTGGTCAGCGGCCGTTTTGCGTGATACGAACGGGGACTCCAGTGAGTAAGGGGAGGAGTGGGTGCAGCGTGTACCACCTCTGAACAGTTTATATATAAACTCATACACCTATCGGTCTGGTATATTTACCGGAACCACCGCATCACCATTATGTATACCGTGGTACATCACTATTATTCCCGATGTGGGGGGAAACGTTTACCCGTTTATATTCGTATTAGGTATATAGTACCGTGCTATAGTATTATATATGTAGTTAATAGATGACCGACTGTATAATATATGATGCTGGTAACTTTGGACGGTAACGATAGATATATATATATGTAGTTTCGTACTGCGGACACGGTTTGATATACCTATGGCACAAGCGGTGCAATAACGCGGCAGCCGGGGAGAGCAGTACCACGACGACGACGACGACTACGACGACGACGAAGACGGGATAATGACGGCGGATGGACGGCGGCAGAAGGTGTATACAAGAGAGAGAGAGAGAAAAAGAAGGCGCGCGCGCGTGAGCAAGAGTGAGAGGGCTGGCGAGAGCGAGCGCCGGCGGGAGATAGCGAGAGTGCGAGTGAGAGTCAGCGGACGAGAGGTGCGCGCGGAGGACGGTCCCAGCTGCTTTGGCCGCCGCCGTCGAATTAGAAGCTGTGCCACCGCCGGCGTCCACCGGCACCACGCCGTGCCGGTGAAAGCGGGGTGGTGATAGTGGAGGCGGTAGGGGATGTAGTGCCGGCGTACACTGCGCGAGGGTCGAGACGCGCGCGCGACACGCCGGGGGCCCGGCGGTTTGCGCAAGCGGCACCGCCACGCCGAAAGCAGGGCGCGCCACAGCCTCGTAGCAGCAGCAGCTTCGGCCGCGGAGGGTGCATCCGTATGGGCTCCGGCGTGCGCTAGTGGTGGCGGTGGTAGTTGACCGACGGCGACGACGCGGAGCGGATATCATACGCAATACTATAATACTGTACCGCGCGGCGTCGTTCGCATCCCCTTCCCGCACCTCGCCTCCCGGCGTGTCCGTGTCTGGCGAGCGCGGTCCGCGAGAAACGTCGTCGTGAGACGGCATTACACCGGCTGTACACCGTATATCGGTATCCCATTCATCAGTCCCATTCATTCATTATTTGCACGTAGCACCGTCATACGACTGTGGCACGTTTTATAACGACGTCGGCCATGGGATCGCCGGACACCGGTCCGACCGCCAAATGTTGCTGCACGGCGTCCGCTTGTCGTCGTGCTGTTCATCGGCGTCTAGGTGACTGCCCTGTGGCTGGGGACAGAAGTGCAGGCCGCACATCCGTATAAGTACCACTGTCCGTACATTATCGTACGCGTACGTATACGACAACGTCGTTATCGGCACTGTCGTTTGGCCGTCGACGACGAAAGATTGCATTTCACGTCTCTTCGTTTCCGCGATGCACGCCGTCACATCACGTCCACTGCCGCGCGGACCGGTTGACGGCGGTCACTGTGTTTGAGTATACGCGCGTTCGCACTACGACCACCGGACTATACAGCGGTGACGGCCGTGAGCGGTTCGTAGTTCGATGCAAGTACCCGTATACCTGTATATACACTAGCTGTTCTAAGGTAGTACCTATTTCATAATATCATTTATAAGGCATACTCTGTGCTGCATGTTTAATTTGTGTATAAATTATTGTATAGTTCAGTATTATGTGTTGTTTACCCCCGTCGTCGTCTGTTGTATTATTAAAACGGCCAACAAAAACTTGAAAAAAAACGATCTTATATCGAATTTTTCGATTATGACGACCACACACATATACGGCACGACGACGACGACGGACTAATGTAATAAAAAATTATTATTTTAATAAATAATAATAGTGTTATGACACGTGCGATCATAGTATAATAAATATAGTGCAGTGAACAATGTGTCAATTTATGTATACCTGCTACACAAACATCGACCATAGGCATAGGCGCAATATAAACACAACGTTAAATCGTTTGCCACTGCCGTTATTGTTTTTATTCTGCAAGTCATTGTTACTGCAAGTGGTTTTCTATTGATAGAAATGATTATTGAAGTATCATTGGGGTAATTAATTAATTGTTTTAACGGAATTATATGCAAATACCATTGAAACCATCAAAGTTTGAAATTGCTAATCAGAATTGCAAACTATTTCGGTGATGGGGGAGGGGGGGAGTGAATATATCAATGATGTCGAGAATGGACTTCTAGACTACGTTTATTGTGCGTGAGAATAGAATATACTACTATAGTGACCCTAAAAAACGACCATAAATTGCGCCTATGACCACAGGTTAAACCCACGACGTTTATTCGTTTTTGTTTGTTTGTTTCTCGCACAGATACATTTGTGTAACTTAAAAAATAATAACCGGAGACCGTGGAAACGCCAAATTTGTCAAAAATGATGTTGTTCGCGATGTCTTTGGAGCCAGCAGTGGTCGACGAACGACGCGTCAAGAGTAATCAAGCGGCCAAGATGGCACGGAAGAGTCATGATGACCATCACAGAAGATATATCACCGGGACATTTGTCGGCGATGATAGGAATCGTAACGACTGCCAACGTCCCAGTGACAGCGACGATCGGATGTCAGCCGCACTAGAAATAATAAGACCACGGGTCAAGCGGAATAACTTTGGCAGCGGAGACGTCCGAAATTGGGAACGATCGGATTGGGTGACCTGTGACTACGGTGAAAAGCCTGGAAACTTTGACGGGGCCGTCGATTGGACGAAACCTCAAGCAGACTCAAACATTGCCACGACGGTCGACGGCGCCTCAGACAGTTACCATCCGGTTCGGCGACGACTTTACACGGACTGCGAACGCAGCGAGACCGCGACGCCTGTAGCAGTGGACGACGTGGACGACGCGTCACCCGAAGACCGACGGCGGCGACGGCACGGCACACAGCAATGGTTCGGCAATTGCTGGCGACCGAAACCGTCATCAGCGGTACCCGACATCCATCAGAATCACCATCGTCGGGTGCACCGGCACCGTCACCATCACCATCATACGCACCGTTTGCACATGTGGACGAGCAGTTGCTGCTGGTGGCTGTTGGTGTTCTATGCGGTGGTCGTAGTCGTTGCGTCGTTTGCCCGAGCTGCGCATTCCGCCAAAGACGGTAAATATATTACAATATTATATTGCCTCCGTACTAGGTATTGGCGATCAAAATCTTATCAATATTTGAGGGGGTTAATCTGTAACGGGCTACATGGAAAAATAACATAATACCTAAGATAATAAATAATATAATACCCATATTACACAGCGTGCCCGTTACAGCTTATCGATTTGATTAGCTTTTGATCGCCACTTGTTTATGGAAGTATAGAGGATCCATAGGTAGATGTTAAACATATGGACGCGGGATTTTCTATCTACACTGTGCATAGGACTTGAACCAACATAACGGAGAGAGAAACGACGTTTCACACCTTTCACACAGAAGCTCCCATATATAGGGTTTTATCATTCATATTATCCATCTTAGCTTCACGATTTTGGATCAATATCTCATCAATATGTTTAATATCTATGGGTGAATCAGAAATTCAGTCCGGTGGGTACAATACTGTATACTCTTGGACGGCAATCGGGTACTATTATTGGCAGGAGGGGAGGGCTAATTTCTCACTCGAACTACCGCTATTAAAATGTCATCACTTATACGTTATACATATAGATAATGTTACAAAATGATATAGTTTTTTTTTTGTTTAACATAAATATTTAAATCTCAAAAATGCACAAATTATTTTGTATCTAAAATTTCATTCCATTTTAAATTAATAATTAGGTTTGAAAATGTGATGCAATGTCAGTCCAAAGTCCAAAGTTGTTCTTACAGAAGTTTAGAAATATCGAAGATACATTACCACAGTTATTTGTTTGATAACAGTTCTAAATTCAAACTGTCCTCTTCTTAGCACAACATTTTTTTTTTAGTAGACTTACATAAATTTATTGTATTCAAACTGACAATGCAGCAGAAGCAATCTCTCCGGTTTGTTATAATTTTTTTTTTACATAACAACTGTTGGTTGCCGTTAAAAAAGTACTTCTAGGAAAATAAGGAATTTGGTTTTAGTCAAAATATTTACCAATATTACTAAGAAAATATTCTAGTTACTTTCTTTTGATATGTTAGGCAATAGGTATTTGTTAAGGAAAATAATATAAAAATGATTATACAACTCGTAATATTTCATGAGTTTTACTTCATAATATTACGTACATTCAATATTGTGATACTTTTTAGTGCACAAACATTGGTGCTCTAATTATAATCAATTCCCTGCCCAAAATGTTTGATCGTTTCATCCAGGTTAGAGTCTAGAACACATATCGGTAAACATGGCTTAGGGGGTATCGGATAGTTAATTGTTTTTTGATTAAACTCAGACCTAAAACCATAATAATCGATTGTATTTTTTTTGTCGTTGTTATTCTTGGAATTTTAATTTATAGGTACCTAGTTCAAACATAAAATTAATTTTGGATATAAAAAACCCTTCCCTACACAGTATTTGGAGGGTAACCTTAATCCCCGATGGTAGAATATAATATACGTTATATAAATTTAAACAATATAACATAAATCCATACAACATATCGTTATTGTTTTTATGTGACGGCGTATCACTATTGTAAGTATAATACTAACCCCCACAAAACGGCTTTCTATTTTCACGTGTCATAAACATTTGTTGAGCTAGACTGGTACAATAAAAAAATAAGCCAAAAATCTATAAAATTGAAATGGTTAGGCGCGTTGAAATTGCGCCGAGGTTACTATTATGAAAGTTAAAAATATGTTTATGTTAGGTAGTCAACATTTTCTTTAAGGATCTTAGTAAAGATCTCCTACACTAAGTTTGATATTTTAATATTTTAAAATTTAATCGACCGTATATAAAATAAACATTTTATAAGTAATATTAAAATATTAAACAGTACGTCATAGGAAACATTTATTTTATAATTTTCCTATGATCCTAATATTTTACTCACTTCTGTTAGATTATTCAATTATTGTAATACATTATAAATGATGATATTAATATTTCCCTTATTGAGACATCAAACTATCAAAGGAGGTAGAGCGGACGTTTAATGATTCTATATCTGACCACTGTAATCGATTACGTTCAGTCATTGTGACATTTTGTCATCATTACAGCCATCATAAATATATTATCAACAATAGAAAGCCTATATTCTATGGACAAGATAATTTATCATTATAGAATTAACCGATTGTTAAATTATAAAGTTATAGGAGCATTCAGACTAAAGTGATTAACTACCTACATGTACCAGACTCGTGCTATACTAAGTAATGCCACATTGCCATGGAAAAAAAAACAATAATCGAATGCCATACTTTCTAAACAATAGTTTATTTAAATTTGTATTGCGGCTAGTGACAATATAATAATTATAAAAAGAACAAAATAATTTAATTAAAAGCGTACCCCCATTCATAGCCATCACCACTCATCAGGTATTTAATTTATCTCTGAATGAAAGATTTTCATTCTTTTTTTTTTAGTTAAAATGAAAATCCTTTATTTTCATGAAGTAAAAATAATTGATGGTCGACAAAAGTACTAACCAATCATCCACATACAAAATATTATTTAAAGATAAGATAATCGGATAGAACAAACTTTGATTTTAATTAAATCATAATTTCATATTTGGCACATAGTTTTATATGACGAAAAGTTTATTTTAAAATTATCCAATATTTATTAAATAATAGTATAAATACATTTATAGCGTAAAATTAGCATTAAAAACCATGCTAAAACTGAGATTAAATAAAACTAGAAATTTACGTTTTATAGAATTTCAATAACAAAACTATAAATAAGTAGGTATATTCATGTTGAAGTGCCTCCGATGGGAGGCCTCTTCCTTCAGTCTCTTCTGTCTGTTTTGTTCTATTATCACTTAAGCTTATTGTTCTAATTACAACAGATAGCGTAATAAAGAATTTTGTTAAAAAAAAAAGTAGGTATATTATAGGACAGGATTGATAAATTAAAAATTATAAATCCGAAATCTTTAATTAATTTAGATTATGCGCTTGCTGCTTTCAATGTTATAACGAAGTATGCTATCATCTCATTTTCTGGGCAGTTAATTGTTTAATGTAGCTCATATATACCGATTTAAAACTAATTACTTCATATTCTACATTCTATGAAAAAGGTTATTTATTGATTTATACATTCAACTACAAAATTAAAAAAATAAATTATTGCAAAGAAATGCAATGATGGTCAATTGTAAATTGTAATACTAATACTTGAACTATTTTTGTGGATACGCCTATATAGGTTCGATTTTTACTCAGAATCGTTTTTTAAATACAATAACAGTTTTGGCATTTAAATTTAAAATAAACCTACCATGTGTCAGAATTTGCGAGTAGTGTACTAATATAAGAACATTGTCAATCAAACTTGTATTTATTTTTACTTGATCTAAACTGATCATATTTACGGGGAAGATTATTAGAGAAATGACACGCGATGTTACGAATCTTTTGATAGAAAATTGATTCTATATAAGTTAATTAATTTTTGATTTTCCAATAGTTTTTGGAATATATATTATCTTACATTACTCATTTACTAAAGTATAAGACTGTTATACGTTATTCGATAGATCGATATTTTTGATTCATATATACAATGTATAGGTACTATCATAGTCATTATACACATAGATTATTTTAAACATTTTTATTTGTGTACCTAATCATTTATTTTATTGAATTTCTAAATTTTAGTTTTTGAGCCTTGACATTTCAATACAAGGTTTACTCTACCGTTTATTATTCCTACTGTATAAAATCACTGATTATAATTATTTTCTAAAGAACTTTTAACATTTAAAAAAATATGTAGGTAGTCGAATCTTTATTAAATTGAACTTTAATTTTCAATCTACCTTTTTTTCAATTAGAATGATTTATATTTATTTCAAATTTACTATAACAATAATACGATAGCTACAACACTATCGTGTACTTATATGTAAGGAGAGTGCCAACCAAACTGGCTCTGTAGATGACTATTGACTGTACGTGACACAAGTGTCAGCGATCCATATAAATATAAAATAAAATGGTTCAACTAAACCAGTCCAGTAATCCTGATTTGTGAAAAATGTATATTTTAACAGTTTAAATTTTACAATAAGGATTATCATTGAATTATATTACCTTTTTTTTTAAAGTATTTGAAAAAATGTTAACAAAAGATGTATTTTATTTTGGATATCATAGTGGTCTTGTGTCTTGGGTTTCATTGTTCTAGAATATATAGACTAGGGGTCTATAATAAGTAGGTAGGTTTATATCCATTTAAACTTAGTAGATATTATGAGATTTCATCGATTCCATCAAACCTTTTTTACTCGGTTAAAATAAACATCGATCCTGTCAATGCAAGATGATTCTGCCACCCACTTCAGCAATCAAACCATTAATTCCTCCAATTTTAAGTTGTAAATTCAATTAACTTAAGGTTGAGCTATTGTCAACCTAAAAATTTACAACTGTAACTAAGAAAGTATAGGGAAATAAAAACTTCTCGTACAAAAATTGCAATTAGTAATTTTATAATAAAATGTAATGATTTTAAAACGAATTGTATTTAAAAATATGTGTGCAATTGGAAGCTGATTTATTATTTTGCAGATTAGTCATATATTATTTATTAAGGTATTAAACATTTAGGAATAATATTATAATAATTAATACATTTTGGTTATAGGTACTATGTCTATTTTATGTGTACCCACTTGAGGACTCATTATTTTAAAAATAGAAACCTATATAATATGTTAGATATTTTATCATAAGACGTGTATGGAAATGAACAATTGTATTATAGTATTCCATTTTTCCATTGGCGCATATCTAAAAAATAATTTGGGTTATAATAAGGACCGTTGCTGATTTATTTTTAAATAATTAATATTAAATATAGAAAAGAATAACCACGATGGTCATAGGTAAAAATGTTGTAGGTGGCCGAATCGATGGGTTTCCGATATTACCTGTGTATTATGTGTATTGTGTACCTATAGGTAGTTACACAGAAA